CAGTTAAGTCCGGGGCAGGGTAGGGGTTAGGTGGGACAACTGGTGATGAGTAACTTTTAATGCCTGACTAGTAGCTCAGGACTTGAAATTTTGAGCCCTGCATTAAACGATACAATTGAAGCAAGGGGAAAAACTTAACAGACATGTCCCCACTCAATCCAAAAATTAAAAATCAATTTGGCTTTAAACGCACATTCATTCTTAATGATGACAAACAACAAACACCTCACCTCAGGGGCGGACTGGGCCGGGGGGCAGGGTGGCAATTGCCCCCCGGGCCTCTCCGATGCCGTCACGTACGGCCCCTGTGACCCCCACTGTCGCCGGCATCCGATGCGGCATCTGTGATCGGCGCCCACTGGGTCCTCGGCTTCTCGGGCGGCCCTCTACACTGCCTGATTAGAGGGCCGCTTCTGCTTGATCTAGCTGGATGAGGCAGGAGAGGCCCTCTAATCAGGCAGTGTAGAGGGCCGCCCGAGAAGGCAGAGCGGGAGGGAGGCCAAGTTGCTGCACCATGGGCCTCTAGGTCTAGTTGCCAGTCAGCCCCTGCCTCACCCTGAAACACGTTTGTTGATGCACAAACCCTATTCTATCGGATGGGAGCGATGAGTGTTTCCGGAGAGTGGAGGCAGCAAACATCTTGACACCATGATCAGAGAGAGGGGCCCCCCAGCTATGGCCCCCCGAAGGGGTGCTATCAGTGATACTCGCTGTTGTTTTATTCCCCTTCTATCTCTGGATGCACAGATGCATCTGACTGGCACTGCTCAGGAGTGGGCACCCTTGCAGTGGCGTAACAATCGCCATAGCAACCCAGGCGGCCGCTATGGGGCCCGGGGCACAGGGGGGCCCGGTCAGATGCCGAGCGGACCGCCTGGGTCGCTATGGCATCCTCTGCTGCTGGCTGTCACTGGCGGCTCTGAAGAAGAATGCGCTGCTGTTCAGTTTACTGACCGTAATCTGTGCAGCAGCGTGTTCGTCTCCAGAGCTGCTGCTGAGTCAATGAGAGCCAGCAGCGGCGGGGAAGGAGGCCGGACCAGGCGAGGGAGGAGGAGGCGGGGCCCATGATAGCCAGCAGGGGAGGAGGCGGGGACCGGTGACGGAGAAGGAGGCCCATCAGCGAGCATGAAGGAAGAGGAGGCTGACAGGTAAGAAGTGCGACCCGCCCATCTGAGGGTGACCCTGCAGAGCTCACCATAGAGAGGGGTCACCCTCAGGTGGGCTGTGTGGAATCTCAAGTGGGCTCTGCAAGGGCTATAACTAGAAATCACAGGGCCCCATACAAAATTTTGCTATGGGGCCCTGTGATTTCTTGTTACGCCCCTGCCTGCAGCCATACAATTACTGGAGAACTACGAGCTTTTCTGGAGGGCTACAAAATGTTTATGACTTTGCCCGGTGTGCGGCAATGCAATCACAAGCATTGGCGTTCAGTGTGCTGCCAGAGATGGTGCATGCGTCTTTTTTTGGTGTGTTGGCATCCCATTTATTTTGAAGTGGTCGATTTAACGCAACGCATATTAACACGTGAAATAACACGCTCCTGAACGCATGTTAGCACGTGAAATAACACGCATTAATATGTACGCTCCTTAACGCACGCAAGTTGTATTTGGGCCCCATCCAGATGTATCATCCATTCTCTGGAAGTGATGGGCATAAGAAGATGAGAGTGGAGGAAAAGCAGCCGGGAAATGAAACCAGAAAGTGTGACGTTTCTGCAGAAGAGCTCCGCCTCCTGGTAGGCCGCCCTTGCTTGGCGTGTAACTGAAACGTGCTGCGAGGCAACTTCCTGTCCCTGCACACATCTGTTATGTCTGACTGACCCAATAGGATTGTGTGTGTCAGGTCCACCTCAGGCACACAAGTGCTGTACAACATGCAACTGGGTTATGTGCAACTTGTTTTCCCCTTTTTATGACATAATTAGTTTATCTGAAGCCTAAACATTATTTCTTTTCATCACGGATGACCTGTGATAGGGCTAGCCCCCGGGGTTGTCTTCTTACTGCTGTCTGTGTTCCGGGGAGATTCACCTTCTCTATTCATCCTCCGTCACCTGGACAGAAAGTGATGGGAAATCTAAAATGTTATAATTGCCACCAGAACAGGAACAGAGGGGACATTTTTCCGTGGGGACAGCTTTTCAGCCATTTGGAGATATTTCCTCTCACTTCCTGTTGTGTCTCTGGGGTAGGAAGTGAAGGGATATCTCCCTAGAAGAGGCAGGGGCGTACCAAGACGGGGTATCACCTGGAGCGGGCACCAGGTGACACCACGCCGTGACATCTTTGCGCATGCACGTGATAATGTCACAGATTTTCCCTCATTTGGAGATATTTCCTCTCACATCCTGTTGTGTCTCTGGGACAGGAAGTGAAGGGATATCCCCCTAGAAGGGCCCAGACAGCAAAAAACAAAGGCTACACCACATTCATAACTATAAAAAAAATTGAGTTGTCTTTAGATACACTGTAACAAATAAAGTAATCTTTATGAAGAAACGCGCTGGGTGTGGCTTAGGAACATCATCCCGTGGCTTAGGAACGTCTGATCACCAGGGATGGGACTTCGGTGGCCGCTTTATTCAATATTTTATCCATGGGGTATACAGGGCCGGATTTACTATCCCTGCCGCCCCAAGGCCAGGTTATTTAGATTTTTATTTATCTTTTTACTTTTTTAGAATTTACTTGTGGGAAATCCGGGCCTGGGGGTAATGGTATACATAGTGCTATGGGCAATATTACAAGAAATGGCGAGCAATACTTCACCACTTGAAGCATTCTCTCTGCTTGTGATTATATATAGACATTTGTGGGTGGCGTGTGACAGAGGCCATGCAATTACTGGAGAACTACAGTACATGTCCCAGCAGAGCTTTCCTGGAGGATTACAAAACGTTTTGCAGTGTCTAAGTGAAGGCTGCTTGTTTATGACATATAATATGGTCAGGGTGTTGCCCTGGAAGGTGTTTTGCAGAAAGTTTTTCTAGGTTGTGAAAGGTGGATGTTTATTTCTTGGGCTAAATAGATAGATAGATAGATAGATAGATCATTAATTGATTGATTTATAGACAAAAGATAGATAAATATCGATAGATATGAGATAGATAGATAGATCGATATGGGATAGATAGATAGATCGATAGATAGATATGGGATAGATAGATAGATATGGGATAGATAGATATGGGATAGATAGATAGATAGATAGATAGATAGATAGATAGATATGGGATATATATATATATATATAGATAGATAGATATGGGATAGATAGATCGATAGATAATAGATATAAAAATATAGATATGGGGGGTGATAGATAGATAGATAGATAGACAGACACAAAGGAATCTCTCTCCTGCTTTGTTTCTATTTTTGCTCAGCTGTAAAAACGTTCTAGATACAAATATTATTTATGACGGAATGGTATCAGTCTCGCCCTGTCATTAACAATGTGTCATATAAAATAATAACATGTAAATGTGTATTTTCCTTTGTGATACATTGTGATGTGGGGGAGGGGGAGATCTATAGATAACAAAAGAATTCTGTATTTTAAATACTCTATAGAGACCAGAGAGCCTCACCCCATAGTGAGAGCTGCAGCCACTCAGTGGCGTAACAACCGGGGGTGCGGGGGGGTCACTTGCCCCGGGCGCAGGACTGAGGGGGGGCGCCTCACGACCCCCGCTAAACGAAGCCATGAGGGGCGAAAAAAATGTTCTGCCCCGGGCGCCCATAACTCTGGTTACGCCACTGCAGCCACTAGACCGAGTCAGAGTAACAATCACATGTTCACACTTACTACAACATGCGGTATCCCCTGTGTATGGGCATCGCCATTTCTTCTTAATGGATCTATAAAACAAACTCACTTGTGCCATAGTGCAATATAACGCATACAATGTCAGGTTTTATGTGCCGTGATGCGCTGCATTGCTATGAATAGCTCAGCTGCATAATTTTGCGCTTTGATTTAAATTAAATGTCCTGCCTAAACACAATGCATGAAATGGCCAGGATTAATACGTGAGCATTAATGCATGCAAAGGTGTAAATTACGATTATCGGCCGATTTTCGTTACCGATCACGTTTTCGTCCGATATTACTAAGGTGGATGGGCAGTGTACAACCGCAAATACTGTACAATCGTACGACATTCGTCTTTCCAGCATGCTAGAAAACTTCTGTTGAATCGTACGATTTTCGCAAGGTTGGTGACGTCAAAAATCGTACGACTAACACTGCTCATGCGCAAACTAAAATCTATGCCGTCAATTAACGAAATTCGTCCAGGTGATTTCTGCTAAAGACCGGTAATTGAACTGTGCAATGCTCGAGGCAGGATGGGGCCGCCGTACGAAAATCGTACGACGGTTCGATCATCGGACGAAAAATTTCCGATGATTGCATGGTGTATGGGCAGCTTAAAAGTGACACTAAACCTGAGCTTGTAGTCTATCACAGGAGCGAGCTTGGAGCGGTGACTACTTTACAACACACACAGGGACCATGGAGAAGAAAAGTAGCCCCCCTCCAGAAGGAAGGACAGTGTCAGCACCAATTCAGAGAGGATTTGAGGATCTACAGCCGAGTGATACACAAATAAAAGACATTGTTGTTAAATAGTTCAGATACATGAATGTATTTTTAAGATTTATCTCCTGAGTTTAGTGTCACTTTAAAACCCAGGACTGTCACTGAGGACAGCTGATCTGGGAACATGCCAGGAATTCTGTGCAAGTGGGGGACAAGAAGGGACAACAGTCCAGGTAAGGGTGAGCACAGTGCAGCCACCAGCCCCATAATATCCTATCAGGAACCCTGAGGCCCCTCTCTGCTGTGCGCCGAGTTTCATTTTCCTGGAACAAGAGAGAGAAATGAAACTAAGCGAGAGAGATCAGCCAGTGTGTGAGTGTGTGTGTGAGCCGCTGTGTGGCGGGAGCTGTATATAAGGAATATGAGCTCCACTAAACATCCCACACTGCAGCCTCCTGACTCCTCTCTGTGATCTGTAAGTATGGAATACACATACATCTGCATGGGAAGATCTAGACATTGGTCACGGAAAAACCTTCAAGACACAACAGGGCATCTTTATTAAAGCAGTCAAGCTGACATTCACCAAACATTCGCTGCAGGTGAATAATCCAGGCACATGTGTTTTAAATGACTGGATTCACCATCAGTGAATGTGTGGGAAAGTCACATTCAGTGCTTTATAAATATGCCCCAACATGCTGCTGTACTTTTGTTGTCATGCAAACAAAATGTTGAGTTTGGTGGATGTATTGTAAATATCGATACTGATTGTATGAATATATGCGTGTGGGTATATATTTGGATCTATTTATATGTGTGTATATATATAGATATATATATATATATCTATATATATATTATAAATTGACAGTAAAATTCTAATGCTTTGACTTATCTCCGCTGAAAGACCCGTGAGTGTCTCTATACCTACTTTGGAGATATACTGGATATATTGCAAAATAGAAGACGCAGCGCCACTTTTTCTCTTGCAATTTCAAATTTGTATTATAATAGGTAAGTACAGAATGTGAGAGGGTCATACCCCAATACATTGTTAATAAAAATCTGAAATTTCAATAGACAAATCAGTGCTGCGTCTCCTATTTTGGGTTGTTTGTGCTCTGGCGGAGAATGACTAAAAATGGATGCCGGCACACTAATGCTGGCCATACATGTTACAAGCTGACCGTGTTACGTGCAATCTCCTTTACATCTACCAACAACTAAGTATTACAAGATTACCTGATTGGATACAAATTGGGGGGTTTTTTTTTAGTTTGTTCCTCATCACACGAATAGAAAATTAAGATGCTACAATCAAAACGCACTTGTTATAATTAGGTATAAATAAGATTTTTGTTATGTAGGTTATAAACTAAAACAAATTAGCATTAAATGGATGGGGTCACCTCACTGAATTGAAATTGTAGTGATAGTTGGAGGCTAGACAGTTAAATCCCCTTCTATCTATCGGGTGGGCTGATGCTGAGGATTGCACCTGGTGGCTGTTGGGGAAGAACAATCAATCAAGCAGTTTAGAAAATCTTTACCCATCAGTAATTTTCCTCCGAGCAGCTTCTCCACCCCCCATTTACATTAGATTGTTGATGTGGCAGAGCTAGCCACGCATGTATATAGAGAGCACTGCAGCACCCATTAGATTCTGTGCCTTCCATCTGCTTCTCCAACCCTCCAGTGTCTTCAGGTCACCGTACTGCTATGCGAATCCTCTGATAGCGTGCAATATTGGTGGTACAGTGTTGGCCAGATCAACAGACAAAAAAGATGTGGGGGTTTCAGATTATTGCAAAAAGAGCAAACTGTGTCGCCTGGCTGTGGAGAAAGCAAATAGGGGTGTATCACTAGAGGGATCCCAAGTAGGAGGAAAGAGGTCCTAAATCCCCTATGTAGATCTTTAGTTATTTCTTAGGCTTGGTTTACACCTGGGTGTTCTGAAAACGCACAGCATTTTGCGCGTTTTCTTGCGAGAACGCCGCCCGTCTTCAGCATCGTGCACAAACACGAAACGCGCTTGCGGTGCCAATCATTTCTAATGGCACCCCAAATGCAGCTGGCAAATACCACGGTTTTCCGCTGCGTTTCCGCGTATTAAAAAGGCGCACAACCGCGGCAGAAAAAAATCATGTCCCGCGCGTCGCACAAAAAAAGGTGAGCTTTTTTTGCCCTGAGAATAATACCCCATTGAAATCAATGGGCCTGCGTTCGCAACCGCACACAAATGCTCAGATGTGAACCAGGCCTAAAGGGATCTCAAGCAGGAGGAAGGAAATCCTGATCCCCTATATAGATCTTTAGTTATTACTAGAGGGATCACCAGTAGGAGGAAGGAGATCCTAATCCCCTATATAGATCTTTAGTAATCATTAGAGGGATCCCCAGCAGGAGGAAGGCGGTCCTGATCCCCTATATAGAACTTTAGTAATCATTAGCGGGATCCCCAGCAGGAGGAAGGAGGTCCTGATCCCCTATATAGATCTTTAGATATCACTAGAGGGATCCACAGCAGGAGGAAGGAGCTCCTGATCCCCTATATAGAACTTTAGTAATCATTAGAGGGATCCCCAGCAGGAGGAAGGAAGTCCTGATTCCCTATATATAACTTTAGTAATCACTAGAGGGATACCCAGCAGGAGGTAGGAGGTCCTGATCCCATTATATAGAGTTTTAGATAGACCTCATTTAGAATATTGTGTCCAGTTCTGCAGACCTCTCAAAAAGATATTGAGCTAGAACAGGTTCAGAGACAGGGAGCAAAAATAGTGAGCAGGATAAATCATATCAGGAGAGACCACAGGAACTAAACCTCTTGGGGATTTTCAATGTAACAGATATGTCCTGAAAAAAAATCAACATTTCTAGGGGCTTCTCTTACGTCCAACTCCTCTTGCCGTCTCGCTGCTCCACCCACCACTATTGCGGGTAAATACTTGCTGTCAAAATGACTGCCGATAATTGCTTTGTATTATACAGCAGAAGGGACTGTCAAAACGCACCCGTCTTATGTAAAATAAACTTGTGTCATTGATTACATACAATGATTCAGTTTATTGTTTTATTGTATTTACTATTTTGTTCTTATCTAGATCAAAGGTGTGACCATTGATCTGAATATAACATTACCTAAAGAAATTTTACAAGTTAAATACCAAAAAAGTAATACAATTTATTCCTATTTAATCCCTTATTAACCCTTAGTTAACCCAAGTCAACCTTAATTAATATCTTCCCCTCGATATTATTTTTCTGCTGATTTTTTTTTCTCTATTAATATTTCTATATATCATTTTTGTGCTTTTATTCGTTTTGTTTGTAACTTTTTTTCACCGTCACATAACAAAAATAAGTAAAATGATTTTTTTAAAAACATTTTTTTCATTTGCAAATAACTTTGACATGCTTTGTACCAGAAACATTATTTTAGTGTAATTTGTAACTGGAAAAATTATAGAGTAAAATGTATTCTTTTTATTTACAGTAAAACTACTTTTGCTAAAAAAAAATATTGTCAAATAGAAGCTTAGGCATGTAGTGGAAATGTCAAAATTGCTTTGGTTCATAAGGGGGATACAAGTATAAGAGAAGACCTGCTTAAAGTTATAAAAAAGACAGAACATCTTTTTTAACATTCTGAATAGAGTGGAAGGGTTAAACCCCCTGATAATATTTTATTACTGTCCCTACTGGGGGGATTCACTCTCTCCATTTGCAACTGGAGCTGAGAATGATGGGGAATCCAAATGGTTTTCCACCATCACCAGTACAGGAATAAAGGGGAAATGTTCCACCTGTTCTGTGACAACAATGTGAAAGGGGATTTCCTCTCACTTCTTTATGTATCCAAAGGTCAGGAATTGAAGGGAATTCACCATTGGGACATGGACAGAAAACTAATCCTAACAGGAGTTTTAACCCTTTCCTACTTCATTCAAAACTTAAAGTACATTTCCACTTTTGCAGCTAAATTGGAATAACGCCTTCTTTATGTTTGTTTCATGTCCCCATTTGCATAGCTTAATATATATTAACTTAACTTAATATATATTTAAACGTTTCAGGTTACCTTTTTAAGTGCTTTTTATTTGCTTAAAAATTCTACCTAACTCCCCCATTCTATGTAATATTAACAAGGGGGATGTGTAGTTAAATTTAAACTCCGGGTACAAAAACGTCCATAAGAGCTGTAGAGTTTGGTCCACTTTGTGTGCACCAAAAGCCTTTGCAAATCCATGTTTAATCTAGTTCAAATACTGGTGAAAATAGTGCTGTGCTGTGCTGTAAATAGCCTGTACAGAGAGAAGAGCTGTGGGGGGGTCCCACCAGGCCCCACCCACTACAGGCTTGCCTGCAGATATTTACAAGAGGGGGCCGAGACAGTGGCGTCACAAGAGGGATGCGGGGGGTGCGGCCCGCACCCGGGTGACACCATTGGTGGGGTGACAGCAAAATGACTTACAGTCATTTTGCTGTCACCCCCCTCTGAAAAGTCGGGCGCTCGGTCATGGACCGAACGCCCGACAGTATCAGGAGAGAGGAGGGGACCCGGCGGCATACCTTATCCCGCCGGGTGGCTGTCTCCTCCTCTCTGTATCAGAATACTGCCGCGCGTGCGCGATGACGTCATCGCGCACACGTGTGGTGACGTCACGTGCATGCGCGATGACGTCTCTGCAGGGTGACACTCGGACACTGCTCCGGGTGTAACCCAGCCTCGGGACGCCCCTGGGACAAGACAAGACCAGTCACCCTGCACAAGGAAAGAGAGCAGCAGTGAGCGGTCTTTATTACAAAAAGCTCCATGTTTCTCATAGGATGACTACACAGATCTGGAAGAAATACACAAAGCTCACCAAGTTTCAAGGGATAATACACATGACTTTTGTATTAAGATAATATTTGCTTATAACGGAGTTCATCTTTCTATCTCCAGATAGAAAAACTTCTGAGGATGCCAAGGGAGAAAGGCTGCAAGATTATAATAATTAACTCTGTCTTTACTGTGCTGGTGCCGGCAGATCTCATTATCAGCTGTAAACTAAAATTTAACACTGTCTGTCCTAACAAATGGTTCAAGATTTCAAGGCTTGGGTTCTGCTGTGTATGTTTATGAGAGGAGGCTGACTCTGTCCCCACTTTGTCCCTCCTAAAAATTGCTCAGAATAGTTTTGCAGTCCGTTGTATAATCCTACTCCAAAGAAGGAACTAGAAATCAGATTTTTTTTTTTTTAATGTGTGAATGCAGGAACACACAACAACACTATAGCGGCGGTTTCCTCAAACTTGACTGCAAAAGTGGAACTGCGCCTTAAGACCTCTAAGTTTTGGTTTTACAAACACTTTAACATGTAGAAGGAAGGGAACATGTCTGGAAGCTTTCTTTACATATAGTATATAAAGGGGGTGAATATGGCTCAGGAGGGTGTGAAAGGGGCTCATCAATAACCTTTTGATTGA